AACTGGCGCGCTTTAATGGCACGAGGCACAGGGGTAGCCAACGAATTTTTTTGTTTACAAAAAAATTTTATCGAAAGTCTTCTCTTTGCAGAAGTTGTTATGGTGGCGCTATTTAGTGAAATATATGTATCTATATCCTGCTGACACTTAGCAATTTCCGCTTTATAAATTTGTCAAATTATTATGGTTTTTGCGCGGCCAACTCAAAAGCATGCTTATAAATATTTATGACTTAAAAATTATTCAAACTCTCAAAGTATATTTGTATATATGTATATACGTGCATTAGGGTGTCTCACAAAAAAGTTGCAGTTTTTTCACCGGCAGTATAAAATGCAGGCGCCGAACATAATACTTAGTTATTGATGAAACCTGTCATAGAAAAATTCGATTTCTTTTTTCATCGAGGCTCAAATTTGAAAATAATTTTTATTTGCAATTTGTATGCAAAATTAAAAAAAAATTAAAATTATTTTTGCTTTTTATATTATATGTCTTAGATAACAATTATTGAAAACTTTTACTTATAAAAGTCATGGATGAAAATCAGTCAATGACTTTTACTTTTAAATGTCATCAATATGTATAAATCAGTCACCGACTTTTATTTTTTTAATCATTCGTATAAAAGTCATTAACATTTTTCGCAGTTAAGAAGGTTTTGGGAAACGAAAGTTTACTACGACTTATACAAATGACTTTTATAAGTATGATTTAAAAAATAAATGACTCTTATAAATAAAAGTCTTAAATAACTGTTATCTAGGACATATAATATATAGATAAAAATCAAAAATGATTGTTATTTTGGATTTATAAAATGAATGAAGGAATAACGGTTATTTAAGGAGTAATTAAATAAAAGTCCAAAAATAATCGTTAAAGAGCAATTTTTTTAATTAAAAGTTGTAACCGTTACGATCCCTCATAAAATGTGTTATATTAAAAGACGGTCCCTAAAATATTTCATGAAAAATAAACTACTTATGAAAGTCTAATTTTTTGATTCCGTCGAATTTTTTTTTTTTTTTAATTTTTATGCAGACCTAATCTTTTCTCGCCTGAGCTGATTTAAAAAAAAAAATATATTTTTTAAAACTAATTTTGTGTATGTATAAAAAAACTTGATTTTTGTAAGACTTCAATTCGGTCCAGCTCAGTTAAGGCCTAATATTTTTCCGAACTTTTTTAGCGCAAGTCTTAGAATATACGAATTTTTATAATTCCGTTAGGAAAACATAACCTGTTTTTTTTTTTGTATGTATGCACCCTAATGTATATTTGTGTATGTGTGCCTTTAGGTTTAGTTATATTAGCTATAAGTTATTGCATTAATAAAATAATGACTATGCCATAAATATTATGTCATTAAAAGTCATTCACGCTTACCTATTGACAGCCATAGAACCACCCACCCACCCCCCTCCCCACACACACACACACACACACTGACATTCCAGTACATTTGAAATTCCTATACCTAGGGGAATTAAGAAAGAAGTGCAAATATCTTGTCCTTCGCACTTTCAGATCATAAAAATAATGTGTCCCCGCCGCTGTTGTTGTTGCCATTAAAAGAATTTAATACCAGTGTTTTTCACTCTCTGTCTCTTTAGCGTATTTATGACTCGCTTTCAAGTCAATATTAAGACATAAAAATTTGTTATTTATTATTATTTTTTCTGACGGGCGCAAAGGCTGGGCAAAACGAACAGCAGGACTTGCAGAGTTGTCGAGTGTGCAGGAGGAAGCCAACTGGAATAGCCATAAATTTTTGCAAGCTATATCTACCACACTCTTCTTATTCGCTTACATAAATACATGTGTGTATACATACATATATTTGTTTCAAACAACCCCTGCTCTGCGACAATTTTTACGAGAATTTTGATTAGCCTTTAATGGTGCGTAATGTACATTGCTGAATGCATTTTATTGGGTGTCACATTTTCGAAGCTAATGATTTGCGAGGACGGTTTATAAGACAATTTTCTTTTTAAACTTAGTTTTTGTTGCTTTATCTCTTGGCTTTTGAAGTACGTAAAATTAGCTGAGAAAATTCTCAATTCCGGGATAGCGGAATAAATTCCCAATTTTTTATTTTACTATTTTTTCGTAGTAAATACATTTTATAGGTCGGCCAAAAACCCCTGAAAATGCAATTTAGGATAAATAAAAAATCTTTGGTATTACAAAATGGTTAAATGAATAATAAAAAACATTCCAGTCCGTTTATTATATTCGTATCTGGTGGGAAAGGTTTAAAGGCAGACAGTTTCGGCAAATGGTAGATAAGTGAAACTATCAGCGTGAATACGACCAGAATGGGGTGTAACATGTGACAAATTTATCTAGGATAGGCATCCACTTCTCCACGGACACAGGAAAACGTGCGCGAAAGACACATAGCTAATATCCGATATACTGGTCCTCCGTCTATCATTTGTGGGGGGAGGTCAGCAGCGGCGCCTAATTTCTATTGGATCAGCAGGTTAAAAGACGAACACAATCGCCCCACGGGAACGCTAAAGCATCGCCGGCTTTGTTAGAGCTACTTTCCGGACGAAAGAATATTTTGAGCGCATTTAGTTCTCCTGTGCAAGACGTCTCGCTAGGGTGATAGGTGCGCGTGATGCCTTAGCATTTCTTGAAAATTGAAAGAGTATTTTTGACGAAGTTATTTGTTCCCTGACAAGTAAATTTGAAATTGAATCGGCAACGTTTTATAAAACTTGAAAAAAGTTCATTCTGGGTGAGACAGTAGATTTGAAGAAAATGTAAAGTTTTATAATGGTGATTATTTTGACGAATGCAGACTCAATATCGATAAAGATATATCGCTGTGCATAATGAGGCGTACAGGCATTTTCGCGTTAAAACGAATTGTGTGTGGGACTTGCTCGTGAGTATGTACGCTTCATTAGATTAGATTCCAGGGTCGTCATGGTCTAACGAGAGGACCTTTTCTGTTTTGCCTAGGGTGAAAAATTATTTGCGCTCGGCAATGCATCAAAAGCGGCTCAACCATCTAGCAATATTGCATTTTTAGCCATGAACTCATGAACGACTTCATTTCTCGAAATTCAAAACGAATGGCCGTGTTTTCACTGCAGAAATAAAATTTTTTCGAAATTTGATTATTAGGAGAAAACGTGGTGAAAGTATCAAAAAATCTGGTTTTTTGCAATATTTGAGAAGCTCTAGCAAGAAACCAAAAGGTGATAGAACCTTCCACTTGGGCTTAAATTAAAGCAAGAACTCTTGACAACTATCTCTGGCAAATCCATTCGTGCACCTTGACTTGATGGTCACTTATAGTCATTTGTTTTAATAGCAAAAACTGGCTTTGGCGAAGTTTGAGTACCTACCGCAATTAAACAAAAAGTGGTAGAATCTTCCACTTGGGCTTAAATTAAGGCTTGAACTTTTGACAAAAACCTCTGAAAATACCATATCTGGATCCAATAAATGACTATTAGTGCCCATAAAGTCAAGGTGGATGAATGGTATTCTCAGGGATAGTAGCCGAGAGTTCTAGCTTTAATTTAAGCCCAAGTGGAAGGTTTTGTTTGTTTGCTAGAGCTTCTCAAATATTGACATTTTTTATACTTTGGCCAAGTTTTTTTCAAAATCTAAAGCTGATGGAAACTTTATACTTACAGATTCGCAATCAGCCCAAAAAAGTCTATCAAAAACAGCTTTTACATTTTAGGAAACCAAATCAGTTTTGCCATGTGTTATACGCGAAACAAAAACTCTTTCTAACGCAATCTGTATCTGTTAACCTTCTCAATTATATCAGCAACCTATTTTCTTTACCTCTATACTCTTGCCGCCAGCAGAGCTACCCACCCGGCCACAGGGCGTTTCGCCGGCCCTGGGTGTGACAACCTCTTTTGGGGGATCTGACAAATTAACCAATTTTTAAGCATTTATCAAGCCTTTGCTTGGTTTCGGTAATATACTTTTTCCGCTTAGTATTTCTTATTCAGCACACGAAATTCTCTTTTTATTTTAGTTAAAATTCACGAAGTGGTCTGTTTTCAATGGCTGTTAAACACAAAATAAATGACTCTGCTTGCTGCAAATTTTACAGAAGTCTATTAAGCGATGGCAGTTGACGAGAGCCACTATCACATTTATAGTTACTACACTGCGACGTTGGGTCTAAACTGTCCTCGAACTTATCACAAGACTTTTTCTAGCCCTAAAGTCGAAATGAAAACCAATGGCTTTAGGGGGGAAGAGAGTTTATGTTCGTAACCACTGGCGTTACAGCGTTCTCAGATATGATTGCCTCCGTCTAGCAACCGTATCAGGTACAGTGGTTTCTTGGCGCCCTATCGCTGTAAGGACAGAAGTTATCTCAGCTAATTATTAGGTAGTTCACGTGAACTCGCAGCCTGCAAAATCATCCCTCAGTGTACCTGTTACGCTCCTAATCCTCTAGGAGTTGTAACTTGCTCTAAGTTTTCTTCTACGACATGCTTGTCAGCTGAAGCCACAGCGTAATCTCTGCATTGTTTTATTATGCTGGAAGTAATACTTACAGAGCCAAGTGTTTTAATCGCCGCCCGGCTATACCATAAAATAGAAATACTGATCCTAGCTAGCTAAGATTTGAAATTATTTTGCTTCTTTGATAGCAAAATTCTCCGCCTGAAAAGTACTGGCCAAATTGGGTATTCGATTTGGAGGTCAGTTGAGAAAGCCCCCACCTCTACGCCACACACTCATTTTTGGACGCACCACCCGCCCATTTCGAGCCTCTTCACATCGAAACCCCAGGCGCTCAGAGGTATATTTTTTACATGGAACTTTGCAAAGCTTTTATCGTGAGTTCATTTAAACTGTATTCCAAGGACTTGTGTCCACTTATCGATTGAATCGCAGTGTATAGGAAGCGTGTGTACATCTGGATAATATTTTCGCAAAAAAATCATAGGAAAGTTCAAAATTTATAAATCTTCTAATTTGTTTTTCACTTTTTCTCCTTGCAGGTGGCCTACAAATCGAAAATAGTCGCGAAGAGGATCAAGGCAAATACGAGTGTGTCGCTGAGAATTCGGTTGGCACCGAGCATTCGAAAGCAACGAATTTATATGTGAAAGTACGACGTGTACCGCCCACATTTTCACGCCCACCAGAGCCCATCAACGAAGTGATGCTGGGTGCAAATTTGAATTTATCATGCATTGCAGTGGGCTCGCCCATGCCGCATGTAAAATGGATGAAAGGTGAGGAGTGCTAGAAGAAATATATATATCGCAAAAAATAACAAATAAAATATTTATTCTTAATAAGGTTTTTTTTTGAATTTTTGTCATAATTCATATTTTTATTAAGTTTGTCTATCAAATCAAAATATTTAAAAATTTTATTGCGTCCCACAGGTGCGCAAGATTTGACTCCCGAAAATGATATACCAATCGGCCGTAATATACTTCAGTTGACGAATATTCAACAGAGCGCTAATTTCACCTGCATAGCGGCCTCGTCTTTGGGGCAAATCGAAGCAACGGCGATGGTGAAAGTTCAATGTAAGTGTTGGCTTCTTCTTGTATTAACATTTCTTTCTTTTTAACTAACATTTCTGTGTTACTTTCTTTTCCCGTTTTTTCTCAAACAGCACTTCCAGCTGCTCCTACGGACGTGCAAATCTCTGAAGTGACCGCCACTTCAGTGCGTTTGGAGTGGTCATACAAAGGCCCCGAAGATTTGCAATACTATGTGATACAGTACAAACCGAAAAATGCAAACCAGGTGGGGTTTTAGTTTTAGTTTGCAAAAAAAAAACTAATTCTTTCTTAACCTTAACTTTTTTTAAAGCTTAATTACAAATACAGCTTTCAAGTGCTTTCAATGAAAGTTTGCACCCGAATTGGAAATTGTACTAAACCTGTACCTGAATACATATATAATTCTTAGCTAAATATAATCTTGTTAAAAAAGCTTTCACATATAAAGTTCAAAATAAAGTTTCATTTTAAGCTTTCACATGCTTCTAGTGAAAGCTTTCAACTAAACAAAATTTTACTCTGTTCTGAATATATAATTCTTATTTTAAGAAGATTTTTATAGAAAAGCTTTCACATATATACAAGCAAAGTTTCAAACCTGGCTTTTGTGTTTTGGTTTCTACTTTTGGTAAAAACCGTAATAAAAAATAATAAATTTACTATAATACCCTGAGCAAAACAAAATATAAAATTCGTTCCCTTCATTCTCTTGTGAGCTTTTTTTCTCGCTCATTAAAATTTTAAGCCTAATATTCCAACCTATGTTTTCAACTTCAATTTTTCACAGGCTTTTAGCGAAATCAGCGGCATCATTACAATGTTCTACGTTGTGCGCGCTTTAAGCCCATACACTGAATATGAATTCTATGTGATAGCGGTAAATACGATTGGACGTGGACCGCCATCGAAACCAGAGACTTGTACCACTGGTGAGACAAGTAAGTGGAATTTTATTGATTTTATAAAAATTAATATCTACTAGTCATATTTTAAGTAAGATACAAAAAACCATTGGTGAAAAGAAAATACTTCAGAACACTGGCTCGTATTAAGAAGTTCCATGGTATATCATGCGTATGTAAGCATCATTATTACACTTCAGCTTATCTGAGAAACAATTAAAAGGCAAAATTTGATGAAGCAGCTGAAAGCTCGCATAAACTTTTGTCAGAGCTTTAAGCTTCTTGCAAGCTTTTGAAAGATATGTGTTCTATCGAAAGTTTGGAATAAAAAAAGATTTTTATTAGACATAACAGAGCTTTTAACATAACAAAATTAACCGGAAATAATTTAACGCCCAAAAGAATATACTAATTCCGTTTAGACAGTAGAAAAGCACAACTTACGAATGTGTGTTTGCTCTTAAAATCCTTAAGGTTAGACACAAATATGCAGCTACAATTTTATTTAGGATCAAATTATATAAAAATTTTTGTAGATCTTTAACAAGAGCTTTAAAAGCACGAAAGCTTGTGAGTACAACACTAAGCTTATGCATAAAAACTATGTAAATATATTCGCAAAAGCTTCCAAGCAGCACCAAAAATGAGCAAATATGCGGCAACTGATGCGTTTCTAAAAAAGCTTTTGCACTTAAACTTTCACTACAGCAAATTAGATGAAAATGTCGGAAAATCTTTAAAACGTGTTTCAATGCAGTGAAGCCTGGGATTAAATTATTTACAATATTTTCTTTTACTTAAGAAGAATGCTTACAAAAGCTTCAAAGCAGTGTAGAGGCAGGAGAAAATTTATTACCAAAATAAGCTTGTACAGCAAGTTGGTTTCCGTCAAAATATGTACGAATATACATAGATTGTTAGAAGAGCTTAAGCAATAGTTTTAGAGCTTTAAATAATATAAGTAAACGGGAGCGAAAGCTCAAGCTTGCGATTCGTTTCTAAAGAAGGTTTTGTGCCAAAAGCTTCAATATCACCTGTTAAATTTAAAAAAAAACCGGAATAACCAAAAATATATGATCGAAATAAACTGCTGAAAAAGAAAGCAGTGAAAGAATATACTTAAAAGCTGCAGTTAGTGCAAAAATAACAGAAAATGATCACAACGGTACGTTACCAAAGAGCTTTCCAAAAAAGCTTCAAATAGTTGCCTTTGAAAGTACATATTAGAATTTCCAAAACTTTTTCAAAAGCAAAAATATAGAGCAACAATGACAGAAGGTACCACCAATAGTTCGTTTTCAAACGACTTTTCCAAAAAAATTTCAATATTTATTTACGAAAATTGCATATTTTAAAGAGTAGTTTACACAGGTACGCTTTTAATAGCTTTATATTCAAAAATTGATTTATGCAAGTTTTCTAAAACTTCAAGGTAGTTGTTTTAAAAATAGCAGAAATGGCGAATAAAGATGCTTCGTTTCCGAACAGGTTTTCATAATTTACCACGAAAAACACATATTTTAATTAGCTTTGTATTTACAAAACTTATCCGTCAATTTTTGCAAAAACTTTTTGGTGTACCTCGAAAGTTTGAATGTGTTGCAGCACAAGTATTGCGGAAGCGATTAGCTGTCAACGATCATTTGTATATAAACATTACTCATACACATAGAATTTATTATATGTACATTGTATGTATTTTTTGAAAGAGCTTAAAAGCTCCTTCATTTATTGACCCGATTTGCTTTGAAATGGTATTAATGATTGCATTTGTTTCTTCTTCTTCTCTTCTCTATTTTATAACTTTTATAACATGCTGTCTTTCAAAGGATTTTTCTAACAATTTTATATATATATATTTTTTTTTTGTTTTTTTTTTTAATTTTTGTCGTTTTTGTTTGTGGTTCAATTCGTGTTTTATGCAACTTTTTTTCGTTTGATTTCTGGAAAGTTTCGTTTAAAGTTTTGAAAGCTTTGGCATTTTTTTCGTATTCTAGCTACTCAAATCAATTTTCTCTTGTTTCTCTGTTCCCATTTTGTTTGTGTTTTCTTCATTCATCGCTCGCTATCATGGACTAACAACAACAACAACAACAACTCAAATTATATGATATCTAAAATAAAACTGAAAATCATAGGCGATTTCACATTCGGAGGTGCAAGTAAGTGCTATTTTCCATACTAACCACAACAAAAAACAAAAAAAAAAAACATTTTCATGCATTTAAATAAGAACCAGTTACACTTTAGTTTGTTGCTTTTTGCACTTTTATGTTGACTTAAATTGGAATGCACGAAAGCTCGTTAAAGCCTTAAGTGCTTTAGTTTATCAAGAGTTAGTGTTTTAAAGTAATGACTCGCCTGATTCATACAAACCTCACGCAATTGGCGTTGAAATTGAAATAAATTGAGAGTACATATCCGGCGTAGTTTCCTAGGCAGTTGTATGTGTATGTTCGTATATTTGTATGTATCACGTGTGATTATCGTATGAGTGGATCTGTTGTGTATGGTGTGTATGATTGTGCGCGCTTGCAGACATTACCCCAAAAAGCTTGCAATAACGTGAAACGTTCAACGATATCAATTGCGCAATTTAAGTTGAAATTTTCATGGCAGGAAGCAAGGTAATGAAAAGAAACTAAAAAAAAAAAAAAAACAGAAAGGGAATTGAATGCGAAGAGAGGGCTATAAAGCGCCACAATTACAACAAAGAAATGTAGATAAAAATGTATAAACGTTAAACAATTTCAATAACAATTGAATTGCAGGCGTTACGACTGCAAAAAACAGGCACACACACACAAACACACACAAGCGACTGTGTGCACACTGCATTTTCATGCTCACTCACCTTTTGCTGCTCGAACAAACAGGCGCATACGTTCCGGTATGCATATGTGCGAAAGTTTTCCACACCTGCCAGGCGGAAAGGTAAACGTAAAGTTTAACAACTGTTTTTTGATACAAAAAAAAGAAGAAACACAAAATCGAAAAAATCATGTTGAGCATAAAAATTTTAAAAATCCAAAGCAAACTCAAATAAAAAAAATAGTAAAACTTCTGCACTATAAAAAAGCAACTCTACGATTTGTAGTATGCTCCTTTGTTTTTTGTTTTTTTTTTTTCATGCAGCATACTCTTAGGTGCCCCAGCGCTATCAGCATGCCGCGGCGTCCAGCACTTGCAGCTGCTGCACCGCACCGCATTCATGACGACCAAACAAATTTTAACCAGCACACCGCCCCCCACCGTCCCTTGTCCGTTTATTTGTTGTTTTATTGGCGCATGTCATTGTGGAATTACAAAAGAGAGCAGCAGCTGCAAATCAACGGCGGAAGAAAAAAAATTTTTTGCGAGCAAATTTGAAAAATTCGCAAAAAAAAAAAAAAAACACTTTTCAGAAACACTCTATGTACACACTCTCATCCGCGCTGTGTAGAAATATATTGCCGACATGCTGGCGCGAGCGCATAAAAGTGGCTATTTAAAATTTTGCAGCACCAAAAGTATTTTAGTGCGTACATTTGGAGTGGCGAATTTGACCGGAACCGATAGCATGCAGCAAGCCTAGTGAATTTACAGTGGTGCTGTAAAGGAATTCTTATCCACAGAGTTCAAAATTGTTGATTTTAGCAAGTATTTGAAAATGTATTATTGTTAGGACATGTTAACGGTTTGTAAAAAAAATCATAATTTAACCGTGAAAGATGTTTATCTATTTTTCCGATCAAAATTAATCGCTATATTATTATTTATGTTTTTTGATCAAGAATAATGTTTTTTTTTTTATTTTTTTCTTAATAATCGTTATTTAGAATTTTATACTTTTTTTTATAGCAAAAATAATCGTTTTGAATTTTTAGAGATTGAAAAAGGCGCTTTCGAGAAAAAAGCTTCAAATAAAATTTACGTATTTGTATCCTCAGAGGCCGAATCTGTAACAAAAACATGTAAATCCAATTTAAAAAAAAATATATATTTATTTTAATTTTTTTCCACAAAAATGTTCATTAAAAATGGCCTGAAACTCCGTAAAATTATTGAATATAAAAAATAATAGTTATTTTGATTTTTTTTTTTCAATCATATCTATTATTTTCAGATATATTTTTTTCTGCATGATCGAAAAAACTAAAATCCAAAATGAGGATTATTTTTTTATTGAAAGAATAAAAACCACAAAACTTCGGTCACATTTTACCAAAAAAAAACCCAAATATAACGACTATTCTTGGTCGAAAAAAAATCAAGACATAAATATTCAAAAACGAAAATTCAACAACAATAATGGTTTTATTCGGTAGTAACGCTTGACGATCAAATTTTACCGTTATTTTAGATTTTTATTTTAAATTTTTTTCCCCAAAAATTTTCATTAAAAGCGACCTGAAACTTAATAAAATTGTTGAATATAAAAAATAATAGTTATTTTGAATTTTTTTTATTCAATCATATCTATTATTTTCAGATATATTTTTTTCTGCATGTTCGAAAAAATTTAAATCCAAAATGAATATTTTTTTATTGAAAAAATAAAAATCAAAAAATTACGGTTACTGAAAAAGGCCAGATATAACGATTACTCTTGATCGAAAAAAATCAATAAATCAATATTTATAAACAAAAATTCTTTAAATATAAATTTTTGTACCAGCAAAAATCAAAATAATGATTTTTTCGGTAATAACACTTGACGATCAAATTTAACCGTTGTTTTATGATTTTAAATTTGAATTTTTTTCCACAAAAATTTCCATTAAAAACGGCCTGAAGCTCAATTAAATTTCTGAATATATGTATAAAATTAAAGGGTATTTCGTATTTGTTTTTATTCAAGCATATCTATTATTTTCAGATATATTTTTTTCTGCATGATCGAAAATATTAAAATCCGAAATGACGATTATTTGTTTTATTTAAAGTATAAAAATCACAAAATTGCGGTCAAATTTGACCGAAAAATTTTAAAAATTTAAAGCCTTAAAAACAAAAATTCTTTAAATATAAATTTTGCTACCAGAAAATGTCAAAATGATGGTTATTTTCGATCCCTGGCTTTTTAAATAGTAATAACTCTTGAAGGCAAATTGAAATGTTTTTATTATTGAAAATTAAACTAGTCATTTCTTAAAAGTATCTTCAAACAGGCCGCTAATCGAGCAATTAGCCAAGCTTTCTCGATTAAGCTCGATTTATCATACAAAATTTTAATTCTTAACTGTTCGATTAGTGCTTAATTGAGTGCTAATTGAATGAATGTTTTCATGCAATCCTGCTGGATATGTTTAGTTTTGACTTGACTTTGAGGTATGTTTATTTTGAAAAAATAGCAATCAGCTGTTGGTTTCTGGGCCCCTTTTACAGCTGATATTGCACCAAAAATGGAAAATTGTTCTCAAGTTGTACCTTATTTGCGGAAAAACTTTACCTAAAAGTAGATGAATGTATGTATGTATTAAAGAAATTAAGAGGATTATCTTTCTCTTCGATACGAACTTCTGGACTCACATTAAGCAAATTTGGCTATGAAAAAACGATCTTCTAGCAGTTCGAGACAAAACTATGTTTTCCATAACAATAATCATTTTCCTCCGAGCTCTTCGATCTGACATTTTAAAAAGAAATATTATCTGTCTATCTGGCGTAATCAACTGCAGTTACGTTACTTTGACCACCCTTTTGTATCTTTTGCCTGCCCCGTCACAAAGGAGTGAGGCTATTGGACAAGTTATCCATACCAAAAAATACGTCGAAATGTGAATACAAATAACGACTGATTTCTTGATTATTTGACAACGGTAAAATTGTTCCTAAATGGTGTACTTTCAAACTAAATAAAGGCACGATTGTACCAACAAAGAACCTTTTTATTTCTCAAAAAAACCTGGGCAACAGTTATTCGTCGCTACGCTGTAAATCGAGCCCTAACCGCCAATATAACGTAAGCGAAATTTTTTTTAATTCTCTTTTTGATGTATCTAGATGCTCAAGGAACATTTCTGCATCAAAAAGAAAATTTTTTTAGGGCTCGATATGAAATTAGTACCAATATCTTATTCTTCTTCTTATTTGCCACTACAACCACTTCTCGGTTTGGGCCGAGACCAAAAAGCTTCTCCAATTGCCTCTAGACGACAAATTATCAGTATATGTACATTATACGCCGATATATATGTATAAGTTATCATAAACGATTAGCTATCAACATATTTATCGATATAGATGTAATTTTTATATTATTTAACAAATTTTCTATCGAATAAGTAGGTAACGATATAGTTTTCGTTGTCATTTTCTTTACATTAGATGTCCCTTATCAAAAATTCACCAGTACACGCATACAAAAAATTTAAAAAGAAATTTACTTTATCGGCTATCGTTAGATTAGTTACACAGCAAAACATAGATACCTACATAATTTTTAGGTCAAAATAGTTTCTTTAGTTTGATGAATAAGTAGAATCTGCATAAAATCTACCCACAGTGCAACGAATTATTAGCAATAAACCCAATCGATGCCAGCCAGCGGCGTAGACAAAGCATAAACTTTACATTGTTATGCGGATAAGAGCAATGAATACGCGCATATATGTAACGGGTGATTTTTTTGAGGTTAGGATTTTCATGCATTAGTATTTGACAGATCACGTGGGATTTCAGACATGGTGTCAAAGAGAAAGATGCTCAGTATGCTTTGACATTTCATCATGAATAGACTTACTAACGAGCAACGCTTGCAAATCATTGAATTTTATTACCAAAATCAGTGTTCGGTTCGAAATGTGTTTCGCAAACCCAATTGCTGCGAACGGCGACGAATCGACATTTCACGGTCTTCAGCAACACTCTCAGAAACAGACGCAATATTCTCTTCTGTACGCACTGTACGCATTCGTGTGGTTGGTTTAATGTCCAATAAAGTAAACTGAGTGCGAAACTTGGTCACAATCGCATTAATTGTTTGCTCACTTGGTCGATTATGTAGACCATAAATCGGACGTAAAGCGAACCGAACACTGATTTTGGTAATAAAATTCAATGATTTGCAAGCGTTGCTCGTTAGTAAGTCTATTCATGATGAAATGTCAAAGCATACTGAGCATCTTTCTCTTTGACACCATGTCTGAAATCCCACGTGATCTGTCAAATACTAATGCAT